CGGTGCGTGTGGGGCGACTCGCGGACGTGCCGGAGCTGCGTCAGGCCGATCTCCAGCCCGGTTTTCCACAGGCCCCGGTGTTCACTCACGCCGGTGCCGGCTGGGCTTGCCCCCTCCCCAGATGTCACGTTTCACGGACACGTGCCGTGGGTCCCCTCTCCTGCATGGCTCTTCAGTCCCTCGTGTATGCAGGTCCCCGGCCACGCATGCGGCTTGAATGCACGCCACCGCATGATTTCAGGCATGCACAAATATGCGAGTATATAAATTATGCCGAGCTCTTTGTGGACAGACAAAGTATATGATACTACAAGCAACACCTGCTCTCCAGGGGCGTCTGGTTTGGGGGTGGCGCTTGCTGCAGCACCAACATCCGCTGGGTGCCCGGACCTGAAGTGACACACACCTTGGCAGCAATGCCTGGATATTTGTAAAACATGCTTCTGACTTTTTATTTTAAGGCTGTCCCCTAGAGACAAATATAACCTGTTCTGGGGCTGCAGAAGAAAGCTTTGAAGTTGCTGCTGCCTGGAAATAGCTCTGGTTTCCTACGTCTCATGGTGACGGTCCCATACTTGTTCTTCCCTGAACATCCCTCAACCAGCTACAGTCGTGGCAAACGCCAACACCGCAGCTGCTGGCTGCAGCGGGGCACCAGTGCATCTTGCCCTTCAGTCCCCTGACTTCGTACAAGTTTCATGCTGAGGGGAAACTTAATGTGCCTCAGTTCCTTTCCATTCATCTTTTACTCTTAAAACATTAGCCTTTTTTATGTAACATGTGCTACTTTTTTATTGCCACACTAACAAGTTGTTGAGCTGTGTTTACAATATGCTGATTGTAAGTGCCCCCTAATAGGTCCAGTCTACGTACCCTCCCCAATTAATTTTTGGGTTTTCTGTTTCATTTTGGGCATGTGTATTTCCTTTATAAAACCTGCATCTCGCCCTGGTATTCGTTGCTGCGTTACCTGCAGGAACCATCTGAACGTGCATTGTGGAGCAGTCATTACCGAGGAACCACAAAGAACGCCAGGGCTGAAATGATCTGGAGCGATGGCATTTGCAGGCCTCTTTGGATTCATTCAAAACCTGCTTTATTCCAGAGTTAAACTGGTTATTAATTTTAAGAACATAAAAGCCAAAGAGTTTTGGCACAAGTTTCAGCCCCAGTTTTAACCTATAAACCTTTATTGCGTCTAAGAACGTATCTTACTGGAATGACGTATGGAATGACGTATGGGACTTTTTACAAGGGCAGGGAGTGACAGGACAAGGGGGAATGGCCTCAAGCTGAAGGAGGGGAGATTTAGATTAGGAAGAAATTCTTCTCTGAGGGTGCTGAGGCCCTGGCAGAGGTTGCCCAGAGAA